ACACCTGTCACTTGGTTGTCGGGATACCTCTATACCTGCATTTTGGGAACTTCTTTTTACGCCCATCATATACCACGCATGTCTTGAGCTCATACGGGACTTAGCAGATTGTCCTTTTCTTGAATGTATCTAGCTTCTCCTCCTTGCCCCAGGCACCGGCGTTCATATTGGGATATATCATCTAGCTTCTAAAAGGGTTCCAACCCTGCCAGTCCACATGGTTTGCTTGCTCGCTCCAAGTGCTCCACCCTTAGGGTAGTACTTCATTTTCCAAATGGAAATATTTTATTATGTAAGAGTCACATTTTCAGAGTCTTCTTACACGATTTTTCATGGTTATTGTATGTGGAAAGGGTCCTACTGACCGGGTGGACTGGAGCGGGAAAGAGCACTCTTATAATAATGTGGATGTTGGCCATGACCTACTACCATGTAAGTCAATGCTAGTTATGAGACAAAGACAGTCAAAACTATGTCAAAAGTTAGTATGAGTATATGACATCAAATGAAGAGATGAAGAGCTTTCTTCCAGCCCAACTCATATTTTACTCATAGGTATCATAAACTAGACAGAAGGCAAAGAAGGCTCAATCGCCATCAAAGACGGATGATCCGCCAAACTCTGCCAAAACCCAGCCTCAAAATCCCACAAATCCTGACTCAATAACGCCGCCCACCCATCATTCCCCTCAACCTCGGTCATTTCAGGCAAAGGCTGCGCTGGGTCCGAATGTGTTGAGTCCAAAAAACGCTGTATAGTCCGCGTAGCCTTAGAAAGCAATGGGTAATTTGGATCCCCGGCTTTTACAATCGTCCCGATCTGAACCTCCGCCACAAACACACTGAGATCTTGTAACGACCGTGTACGGTGCGCTCGTGGCATATGCTGTTTCAACATGGCCAGAAGCATTATCCCCGCAGCGGGGAGACCGTAGTATGCGACCTAGTTAGTATGGATATTAGTTTACTGCTTGCAAGTTGGGGGGTTTGTAGACAGAGTATGTTAATATGAACATCAAGTCAATTCCATACATACCTTCCAAATAAGACCCGTCCCAGAATTAGTGAGCTGATCCCGCAGCAGAATAATCTCCACAACGAGCGTGAGCATCTGACCCGCCGTCTCGATGATCGGTAGATCGGGCTCAGTCGGTGATTTAAGAAGCAAAAGACGAAGCAAGAATAGCACATGCAAGTGGTGCAGTCGTACACCGGCGACGAAGTCTCGCTCGAAGGATCCTTGTGTACAATTCTTTAGGCTGCTCTCGAGTCGGAAGTGGGATGGCAGTTGTTGCCACTGCGTCTCTGCTTGGCACTGTATCACACTGTGCCATTTCTTAATTAGCCATTGTTTACTTTGAGATATTCGGCGCGGCGTTGCGTTGCTTTTGAATACCTTGCTCGCTGCGCACATGATGGATCATGCTTGTCCTGAAGAAGCTCCCATATCTCCTCCTTTAGTGATGCGCACAGTGCAGACCACCGCGTATCAGCCCGGTACCCGGGTTCCGCGTCTGGGGTCCAGTCGGCTGAGCCTTCTTTTGCATTCTTGCAGGATGGGATTTGAAAGTGACAGAAGCGTTTGTTCATTCGTGGTGGGCGGCCGAGGAATATTGCTATATTCTTGTCTGCGGAGTATATGCGCGCGAAGGCTGTTTTGCGCAATTCTTTGAGGAATGGCGGGAGCCCTGCTTTAATTTCGATGTTCTCGTGGTAACCAAGGGCAAATGTGGAAGATATTGCATCGCCCAGTTTGCGCCATGAATGGTAGCCTTTGAGAAATTAACATATGGCTAAGTGGAGGTAACAATTGCGGCTTGCAACCTACTCTGATCTCCATCCACGTAGGAATGGACGATAAAGTTCTCGTATTGCATGATCAATTGTAGATCATTCAAGCAATCTAAAGAGAGAGATATCTCCAATGCAAAGTCACAAAGTTTAGTACACAATCTTCGGAGTGTGTACTGCTCTTGCTCAGTAGTATATAGAGACGGAAAGAACGCGATGTCAACTGTCGCACGACTAACAGCGGCAAAGAATATCCCCAACGTTTCCCAGCGAGAATTGTGCTCCAAAAATTGAGCCGAGAAACTAGCCAGGTCAGAGGTATCATTGAAGTGTAGCGGTAGGGCCGAGTTCTGCACGAGACGTCTTGCATAGACTAGATGCCAGTTGTCGTCATGATATGTGAACAATTGGCTCACGCTCTGGGCACATTGGTCAACAAAGGGCTCTGCCAGGGCCAGATTGGCTCCTTTAGCTAGCCAGAACATGACGAGGTCTTTCATGGCGGACAACTGATATGTTGTCAAGAGATGTTTGAGGATATCTGCACCCTGTAGGACAAGATGGTTGTCCCCAAACAAATCCGAGTGCAGATCCTCTGGTGCGACTTGATGACTACCGGGGCCATGGTCTCCGTCCGGAGTGATGTGCTTGAATATAGCTGCATGGCTAGACGATCCTAGATACCCAGGGTTTGGATATGGATTACGTCTTGGATTAAATAATGGCGATTTATCTGGTGGATTTACGCTGCAAATATATTATTAGCCAATTCGGATATACAATCCAGGCAAGTATGAAACTGACCTCTGCTTCTCGACTCTTCTCCGCTTAAAGGGCGTAGTCCTGTAGATGCAAATCCCCTTGCTAGCACTACAACGCGTGCAAACGGGCAGCTGATGGTCGCATGCCAGTTTAGCCTTTCTGCAGGCTTCACAAGCAGCCAGGCGCGACATGGCTGGTCTGGCGGAGTTTGTCCCGCCAGTGGAGACAAAAGGGTGAAGTCGGCTAACAATGGCGAGATCGGAGAGTCGGAGAATCGGCGTGTCGCCGATAAGATGCGGGGATCCATTCCATCCATCTATAAATACTCGTTTTGCGTCCCTCTCTAACTCCAATATCACCTTCATTATGACTCAAGATATAAAGCTCGCAGAGTACCTGTTTACCCGGCTGCGCCAGCTGGGCGTCGACTCCATGTTTGGCGTCCCTGGTGACTACAACCTTCGTTTATTGGATTTCGTCACTCCCGCCGGTCTCCACTGGGTGGGCAACTGCAATGAACTCAATGCCGCCTATGCGGCGGACGGATATGGTCGCATTAAAGGCCTGTCTGCACTGATCACTACATACGGCGTTGGCGAGCTGTCCGCTATCAACGGCATTGCAGGCGCCTATGCCGAGAATACACCTGTGTTACACATTGTCGGAACTCCACCGCGCCCACTTCAGAGCGCGCGCACGTTTATGCACCACACTTTCTCAGATGGCGACTACCGTCGCTTTGCGAACATGTCGAAGCATGTCACTGCAGCTCAAGTAAGGCTGGAAGACGCTGCCACAGCGCCGGAACGGATCGACTACGTCCTGCGCCAGGCGTTGGTCCACAGCCGTCCGGTCTACCTTGAATTGCCCGATGATATGCCCGACGTGCTCGTGTCGGCTAAAAATTTGGAAACAAAGATCAGCATTCCTCAACCACCAAGCTCTACACAAGAGCCCGAAGTGCTGGCGCGCATCTTGGAGAAAGTGTACAGCGCCAAGCGTCCGCTCATCTTCGTGGACGGAGAAAGCACAGGTCTTGGTATCGTCGACCAGATCGATGCTCTGGTCAAAGCAACCAACTGGCCCACATGGACAACCGTGTACGGCAAAGGCCTAGTCAACGAGCAGCTGCCAAATGTGTACGGATTGTACGCGGCAGCCTTTGGCGACAAGTCAGCGCAGGAGTACTTCGAGGAGGCAGATTTGATCCTGGCATTCGGACTGCACAATAGCGACACCAACACCTATTTCTTTACGACAATCCCCAAGTCCGCAGTGTCAATCGCCTTTTCGGGCAGTACCGTTCAAATCGACAATGATACTTATCGCGACCTGTCCGCCCACAACATTCTATCAAACATACTCCAAAGCCTCGACTCCACACGCCTAGTTAAGGCCACCGGACCCCCGAAACAAGAAATCACATTGGCCAACATCAAAAACACAGACCCACTCGCGCAAGACAACTTCTACCGCCTGGTAAACCCGCTCTTGCGCGAAGGGGACATAATCCTCACCGAGACAGGCACCGCCTCGCATGGCGGCCGGAACTTCAAACTGCCTCCGAAATGCCGCATCTTCGGCGCGGTCACCTGGCTCTCGATTGGATTCATGCTCCCGGCAACACTGGGCACAGCGCTAGCGCAGCGTGAGCACAACAAGGCCACAGAAAGCAAGAGTCAGACTATTTTGTTCATCGGCGATGGAAGTCTGCAGATGACAGCGCAGGAGATCAGTGTGATGATCCGTGAGAAGTTGAACATTATTATTTTCATCATCAATAACGAAGGCTATACCATTGAGCGGGTGATCCACGGACGCCAGCAGGTGTACAATGATGTGCCTTTCTGGAGACACGCGCAGGCGCTGAACTATTTCGGAGCTGATCAAGAGCATGCGGCGAATAATAGTTTTACGGCGAGGACCTGTGGCGAGTTGAAGGATGTGTTGGCTAGTGAGCAGATTCAGAATGGATCCGGGGTGAGGCTTGTTGAAGTCTTTATGCATAGGGAGGATGTGCAGGGAGCTTTGCTGTATTTACTGAACAAGCAACTTGCTCAGGAGAAGGAGGAGGCACAGCAGCAGGGTTAGATTTAGAATGAGAGAGAGATCACTTGTTACATAAAGAAATATTATATATAGTTGACTATGCTCTACTACGGTTTCTTTGGACGATCAAGTCGAATGATGTCTTACTATGATTATTGCGTGTCTCGCTCCTAGTACACGAAATGAGAAATCCTTGGAAGAACAAAATCAGGCTAAGTAAACGCCGATTCCCTATGCTCCAGATCCGCCATGCACACAGTGTTGTAAAATTAGAAGAAACAAAAAAAAGAGGAATGAACCGAAACATCTCAAAACAGACATCTGCTTGAACATGTCACGGGGAGTCTATAATTGATCCGTGTTGATGAGAAGGGTTTTTTTCTCATGTTGGATTTTGGTTATTTGCGGAAGTTATCAACCCCCAAGGTTGGGGTTTCCACCATTTGATCAGTGGGGACGCCCTCGTCACGACGACGGGCGAAAAAGCTATCGCATTCGGAGACAATGTGTGCCCATTCCGCAAGGGCACGGCCTGCATATTTGCTAGACACAAGATGATCGTAAGAAGGCTGGGAAGGAAGTTCAGGTAAGGGGGAGTTCTTGGTTGTAGGTGTTCGCGGCCAGGTATCTGAGGTAGGCTGCGTGGGAGTATCTTGGTCGGTGGTGATGATGTCTGGTTCTGGTTCATCGTTCTCGAGGTCGGACTGGCCCGGGTTCTCTGATGCTGTATCATACTCCGACTTCTCAGGAGAACGTCGATGCTCGACGTGCAATTGGGATGCGACAGGGAGACATGGGGTGAAAAGACGTTTGTTTTTCGTGGGCCATTGCGGGCGATCCATCCATTCCAAAGAGAATTTGAAAAAGAATGGCTGGTGGAGAGCTTTGGGGCGGATGATCTCGTCGTCCATACTGTGGGTCGCAGTTTGTTCGTGTTCATCCATACATTTGCTATCCACAGTCATTGTTGGATCTGGTACGGGATTCTCGGAGTCATCAGAACTGCTGCTGCTGACTCCATCGCCGGAACGTGGGTTGGAAGAGCTGCCAAACATGGCCTTGAGTATCCCCCACCGTCGTTTAGCTGGTTGACCATCTGAACCACTAGAGTCGGACGATCCGGTTCTATTGTGTGACGTCAGTTGGTCCGAGGGAACGGGTGGAACGACTCGGTCAAAGCTGACGAAAAGATTGACAGGAGACAATTGGTTCTCGCATCGGATAATGATGATTCTTCGTCCTGGAGCGGGTGTACAGGGAGCAGAGGACAAAGGAGCTGCCATGCCTTGTTCAGCCTTAGATTGGAATCCGATGTAATACTCCCAGACTCGTAGGAGTCGATCTGAAAGAATCTCATAGACGTTGGAGTCAAGTGATGAGGGATCAGTATGGAACCGACCGACCCTCCAACACAACAAACGATGGAAATAGGCTCGCACCATCGGACTCCAGTGATTGAAGTAGTGGTAGAATACCGGCTCATGCAACAAGAAGTCTAGGCAGATAGATGCTTTTCTTTCTTCTGTCGCAGTCCAGGTACCCCAGATGCAGAAGAGGAAAGAAAATACCCGTACCTCCGTGAGCGAATTGTGGCTCTGCATCATTTGACGACAAACATCGAGCCAAAAGCCCCAATCAAACAATTCGGTTTCAATCGACTGGGCATAACGTGTAATGATTGGAATGACCTCCTCGAGGAAGTCACACAACAAAAAACATGCATTATGATCAAAGAGAGACGTTTTCTGCGCTGCGGCTTTGATTATGCCACAAAATGATTCGGCAAATAGTAATCGAGCTCGATTTGGTTCTACCGACGATGCAGACAGTAAGTCTCGGAGAAGGATAATCAAACGATTCTCTGCCATCAACCGATGAGTGTTGCTGCCACTTCGAAGATGCTGAGTGGAGGCAGAAGCATCCGGCGACTCGATAAAATCATCAAAGGTGATTGCAGCAGCTGTGTGGGGATTGTCGGACCCCTGTTGTGCCGATTGTTTGTAGATCGTGTCCTCCAGAACGAGCAGGAGTTGCGCGTGAACTATCAACAGCCCAGGTGCCAATATCCGTTTTGCCTTTTCAGTCCCCGGAGGCAAATACTCAGCGTACAGAATATGAATGTATTTGACGAAGACAAAGAAGAGGTCCGTGTCACGCCCAGCCCATCGTGCAATCCACGGGCGGTTCCAGTTAATATGAGTGGTATTCAAGGGTAGTTCGGGTTTCTGGCGTAGATATCGCAACAGAGGGGATTGCGAGTGAAACGCTAGGGGACGGAGAGCCGGCGGAAAGCACAGAGCGAGTTCTTGCGTGTATGCACGCATATTTCCAGTGCGCGACCCGGCTGATTCTGACAAGATGCGTCGGAACATATTAGGAGGCGTGCTCCACAGGCGGACCAGGATCTCGGGCACCCCGGGACAGAAGAAAAAGGCATATGCGCAAACCTTGCCACAAAAAGCAACCAGGCTAGCTGGCGCATGTCTCATAGACATTCGTTCAACCACGAATCCCATTTGAGAAAGGAGGTTTTGAATGAAGATGTTTCGGATGTTGTGATGAATCGATTCAACCAGGAAATCCGAACCCGAGGAGCCTGACCCATCCGATGTTTCCGACACTGAAGTTGACGCATATTTCAACGATTCCGTAGGCCCATCTCCATTCTGGGCCATGGGGAAGGGTATGCGCCATTCCGGTCGAGCCATGATTCCCACGATAGCTTCCAGGAACACCGGTCTGTCGGTTCCCGATATCGACTGGTTATGCTTGCCATTGAGCATCTCTAGCATTCCAATCCACCATTTATTAAGAATATTGACTCGGCGATCCAGGTCTTCCGGTCTGAGGTTCTTGCATGAGCCATGGAGGTGATGGCGGCTGAGAAAAGGGAGGAGCGAGGTACGGATGACGTTAGCTTTCAGTGAGCTAGATTTGGCTTGGAACCTGTTATCTGGTCAGCAATTGTAATATGAAGGGTTAATGTAATTGCGCATACTTTTGGAAATCCGCCTCCAAGCCACGAAAGACGCCCCAAAGCTCGTCCTTTTTCCGTGCAGATTCGGTGCCGGAATTCGCATACGCCGCAGCAGTTTCCGCAGCTCCCTTGGGCATAGGTGGTAAGAGCGGGGTCGAAACAGAAAGTGATGCTGTGAATTTTTCGAATGAAGACCGGTGCCGTAGCGAATTGCCAGATGGACTGTTTGGAGAGCCGGGACTGTCTTCGGGGCCCTTGGCTATAACAGCTAGCATTGGCCGGCGTGGGCGTTTATAGAGGATCGTTCGCTTGCGGGAAGGTTGTGTCTGATCATCTTCTGTTTTTCGACCGCTGAAACTAGTTGGGGACTGAGAATCCTGCTGTTTGGACCTTTTCGCTGACGGTGACGGAGACCGGGAGGAAGAGCCCCATGGTTTCCTCGCAAGGCTGACGATCCTTCCAGACATTGACCGGCTCTTGGATGGCCTCGCAGCGGGCTCCGGTGCCCTGGTTTCCGGCACATGTGAATCGGCATCCTTCAAATCCTCCGACGATAATGTAAAACGTGAGATAGTGGCTGGCTTTGACCTGTCCTTGGAGCGAAGAGAGGTGCGGCGAAGAATGTCTTTCCCTGCAGCCACGGTTTCCTTTGTCGGTGATTCTGCCAAAGTCGGCACAGCATAATCGGAGAAAGTACGTCTTAAACTGGATTCCGTTGCGGTTTGACTGGGAAGATCGGTGTAGCTGGCGGCACGAGAGAGCTGGGGCTTCTGGTCATCGTTCGTCTCCAGTGAAGGCGAAGACATTGTCTAGAGGATAAAGGGAGGACAGATTGGTTATTGATAGGAATTATTGGTCATTTCCCCTTTAATCCCAAGATTCCGAGCGTAGAAGAGACCAGCTCCTCTGTGCACCAGGAGGTTCCGGTTCAAAGTGGTCAGGCGCGCGGCATCTGGGAAGGGCAAACGAGGCACAATCGCAATGCTGAAATGCCGACTTTAGGAGGGAATCAGCGAGCCAGAAAGAGGTAGAGAGGGACAAAACAATAATATCCAGCCCTGGAATTACGGAGTTTCGGGGTGGATAGATCGTCTATGCAGCCGCTTACAAGGGCGCCACTCTGATTCAGCAAGTGATCGGCGGGAAATATCTCCCCCAAGGGCGGTCCGGGCAAAAGGCAGAAGGGTGCGTGTGTGTGGGGGAGAATAATGTCAAGAGGAAGTGAGGGAGAGAAGAAGAAGAAGAGAAGAAGAAGGAAGACGTTGGAGAAATCCAAATAGTCCCCCAAGTCTGCAAAGTCTCCAAAGTACTATTTAGTTACCTTGTAATTAATTAACTCGAGACATTTTTAACTTATTATTCTAACCTATTCCATACGAGTAATTATACTTCATTTTATTATTAAAATCAGATGTTTCCTTTCAGCTGAGACATCCCTATTTGACTCCACTTCTTTCTCTTCTTCTCTCTGTAGCCATCATGATCGCGTAATACTGCTCTGTCTCACGGTATCAGCTCGAGTCCATGCTCTCTGCGCCATGCAAGTCTGATTCGGAAAGCCCATTGGGCTCTCTCTGTTCAGCCCCAATCGCAAGGTCTTTACAGGCGATAGGGCCAATCGCATCCTCTCCGGAACATAATACTAGGCAGAATTCACCGAGTGGGCTATGACAGCTGTACAGCTGTACACCGGCACAGATCTCTCGTATCTCATTCTTGGCCACGGAATGTTAGAATATCGCCTCGCTATGATCCAATGGCATCATCAACCCTAATTCTCTATTTTTTTTTGGCGATGTTTTCTTATAAGAAACAGCGCTTTCCACACGCCTCGATTAGAGTCAAATCAATTTCCAAAGTATGGAGCTATTTCCACTACCTATAATCTCCCCTGCAGGGGTTGGATCCATAGTTAGGACGCTTCCAAAGTAAATGACTTTACCTAACTGCTAGTTAGGGACGGAGTACAGATAGCCCTATACATGGTGATGTTTTTCTCTCTGGATGTATCCAAGAGTTCCTGGGTACGACCATGGATCACATTGTACAAACCCTTGGTGACCAATGTTTTCATTGCGCCCCCTTGAATCGTCCTTTTCTTTGCTCCGGGATTTTCTAAACTTTACGGAGTAGCTTTAGCTTTGCCAGCCATAAATTTGATATATCAGAATCAATTGCAATGCCGTGAACTTCTGGTCTGTTCGTTACATGTTGATCTACGGAGTATTGCAGCAGTAGATCCCAATAATTAATAGTCAGTACCAATAGTTCCCTCATATGAATATCCATACGCATATACTTCCGAGGCCTGACCGGGTACTCAGTACCGGAGGAATTGTTGCATGAGCATGGCAATAAGCCTACTTAAGCCATACAATGCACATTGTGTAAACCAGCGGTTCCATGGCATATTTTGCCCATGCTATCTGTCCACCACGCAGTCAAACCATCTAGATGTCTTCTATGTGGTATCATAGTTCTTGAAGTACTACATTTGAATACTACAAACCCCGCTCTTTGACCGAAAAGTTGAAGCGGATGACCCTAGCCGGGAGTCTGCTGCACTCACCAAATACTTGTCTTTAGTAACAACCCCCGGCGTAGCCCTGGATATTTAAATCCTACCCTGTATAAAAGCAGAATATGTGAAAAACAAGGGAAATAGAAGTCTCAACGTTCAAAAATGTGGTCTAATTTACAAGCTTCAGGACCTCGAGAGGCGGCCACATTAGTTGCGGCGCAGGCATTTAAATCCGGCCTTCCCCCCGCATCTCCCCAGACCTTGCTAAATGAAATAGAAAGAGGAATTTAGTGGGCAGCGGGTGCCTCCTCTTCCTCCTCGAACCAGCTCTCCTCGACGGGGGCGGCCTCGCCGGCGGCGGCTTGGCCCTCGACCTCGACCTCCTGGCTCTCGTAGGCGGACAATTCGCTGGCAAGGTTGGCCTCCTCAGGAGACTTGGGAGGCGCGGGGGCGGAGAACTTTTGACGTGCTCGTCGGCGTCACCAGCCTTGATGGGGGTGGGCTTGTAGGCCTTGAGCTCGCGGAGGTACAGGTCCTGGACGGGGTCGGCTGCGGCGGGTTGCGGGTTAGCGAGAATGCGACCGATTGATATAGCAGGGGACATCTTGATTATATTGAAGATAGTCCCCAGGTAAATTACGTACCCTGGCGGACGGCGGAGGTCAGGAAGGTGCGGCGAGCGACCGAGACCTGTGCCCGAGAGGCACGGGAGAACAGGGTGCGCTGCTTTTCGCGTTAGTCGAGGGCGAAATTGATTGCTATAAATCAAGCAGCACTCACCGAGGCCCGGAGAGATTGAGACATCATCTTGGCTGAGGGTGTAGATGAGGAATGAGGGGTGGTTCTCAACAGAATAGGTCTGATCCGTCTTTCCGTGAAGTTGGAGGTTCAAACGACTTCTGTTCGGAAAGGTTTCTTGGCAGATGACTCAGCCGGGCCATGTTGTTCCCGAATCTTTCCAGGGCTTCCACACTCCATTTTAGTATCAAAACAAATAGTCGACGGTAATTCAATTCATCGATGAAAAGTGATAGTTGGCTAAGGCTATATTCAAGCGTTGACATTATGTTATCAAGGCGAGGAGAGGCCACCCTTCACTGAACTGACCAGTCTACACAAATACCCGAGACCACCCGTATAGGAATGTTTAAATGTCTTGACTTTATTGTTTGCTTTCACTTATCTGCCAAGATCCAAAGTTGCAGTCTCATTGTCCTCATTAGATTTCGTTCATCTATAGCAGCAAACGCGAACAAAGAATGTTTGTTTGATATAAAAAGTTTCCTATACTTCCTCGAACCAATCAAATCTTGGAGACATCATATACCACGTGACCTATTTACTAAGCTCGATCTGGACCCTTTCTCGGTGCCGCCTATTGAAGCCTCACCTCACCCCATCGTTTCCCTCCCTCATCCTCCCCCAGTCCTTGGCATCTTCTTTCTCTCCTCCTCAGCCTGTCCCCATTTTCGTGAGAGACTTCTTGCGGAGACCTTGACTGGTTCAACACGGCTGGACAAGCTGAGGCGAGATTTCTGTTCCACTTTCAATCCAAGAAAGCGCAGACTGGTGAAGGGTTTTCTACGACTGGGGGTGACCTCCTTAGGTTTCCGAGGGCTCTGGCCTGTGAAAGGTAATGAAAATTCCTTTGTTCGAGTATATCTTGGCATGACATTGTTGGAGTTCAAGGAGCAGACAAATTAGCGATACGGGAGACAATGGATTTCCTTTAGGCTGAGCTAACATGACTGCGCAAAACAGTGGCCTTGAGCTCGTTTTTTGCGTTTTCGACCTTTTCCCTTGCTGAGGGATTCTCTGCAGCTGGCCCGCTTTCGTTTTCCTCACTACAGCCGCCAAGCTGTATTCGCCACTTCTCCTTCGCTATTATAATCGGAAATACCATCTACCCCGTATAGCGCCAAAAGTACTTGCAAGACGTTGCCGCAACCGATACTCAAGTTACCTGAAAACCGAAAATATGGCTACTTCTCTTACAAAACCCGAGGTCGCGGCTCCTTGGAAGAAAAACCTGTCCGCCCATCTCGTTTGCCCCGAATGCAAAGAGGATCCCCCGAACCTGGAATTCCCCGACTCCCACGAGACAGTTTGCGGTTCATGTGGACTTGTACTCGCGGACCGTGAGATCGACTTGCACTCTGAATGGCGTACCTTCTCCAACGACGACCAAAATAATGACGATCCCTCCCGTGTCGGAGACGCCTCGAACCCTCTGCTCAACGGCGCCCAACTGGAGACTTCTATCGCAAGTGGAGGATCTGGCCGTGCCCGCGACCTGTACCGCGCGCAAAACAAGCAGTCCGGCGAAAAGGCGAACAAGGCCCTCCTAGCAGCTTACAAGGAAATCGGTGCTCTGTGCGACGGTTTCAACATCCAGAAGACTGTCGCTGATACCGCCAAGTATCTCTTCAAGATGGTCGACGACGCCAAGGCCTTCAAGGGCAAGTCGCAGGAAGTCATTATTGCCGGTTGCATCTTCATCGCATGTCGTCAGTGCAAGGTTCCTCGTACATTCACCGAGATCTTCGCCGTGACCAAGGTCACCCGAAAGGAGATTGGTCGCATCTATAAGGCTCTAGAGAAGTTTTTCACCACCCAGAATGTCGAGCGCCATAATGCTGCTTTGGAAAATGGCGAAACTCACGACTTTGCTGGCGATTACAACGCGACTACTTCTACCAAGCCAAGCGATCTTTGCAATCGTTTCTGCAACCTTCTCGACCTTCCTTACCAGGTCACCAGTGTTTCCGTCTCCCTTTCCGACCGCGTTACCGCCATGGGTGACTTGGCCGGACGTTCTCCCCTGTCTATTGTTGCGGCTTGCATCTACATGGCTTCATTCCTTATGGGCCATGGCAAGTCTGCCAAGGAGATTTCCCAGGTTGCGCATGTCAGTGATGGAACCATTCGTGGTGCTTACAAACAATTGTACGCGGAGCGCGAGCGTCTGGTTGACCCTGAATGGATCAAGGGCGGTAAGGGTGATATGGCCAAGCTGCCTGTGAGCTGAGGAGTGCATTGGAACATAATATTTGCTTCCCGGACACATTGATGATATTCACGAAAGAGCGACATGGCGACGTGGGGACGTGGCCAAGCTGCCTGTTTATGCACAAAAATCTATCGAAAAAGACAAAAAAAAAATCAACATATGCTTTCTCGAGACACATAGATGTCTTTGAAGTGTCATCAGATTACCTCGCTGCAATGTGCTTAGGATTTTATCTTTGGTGGATATTGGCTTTGGGACAAGCCTGAGGACTGCCTTGATTTGTACATCATCATGGATAGCTAGATTGACCGACAATCAATGATCTTCCTATGAATCCGATGAACATAGATGTAGGCTAATGTCCACTCTTCACTAGTAGGCAGAGTAAGATCTGAAGAGCTGTGTTCTGCTACGGAGTACTAAAAGCGACTCGGCGTGTTTTCGGAATTTCACTTGTCCATCTGAGTACACTTATATATTGATAAACAAGCCCAGAGAACCCAAAATACAAAGCCCATGGTTAATGCAAAAACATCTCGGTGAAAGAAAAGCCATTCATACATCGCTCCAAAGCAGGCGCCTGAACCCAGAAGCCCAAAAGAAAAATGATGGACCAGCACCATCTCACAACCTAGCATATCATAGGGGACATATCACCAGCAGAGCAGGATACCAACCAAGGAAGCTAGCCCTTGAAAGTAGGCTTGACCGTGCCATCATCAGCAGTACCGCTATACGGCTTATCATACCGCTGCTCCATATCCTGATTGTGCTTCTTCACATCCTCGGGAATATCTTTTTTCGGATTCCCCTCTCGGTCTACAAGAGGCGATTGCTCCCCCTCGTTGAGGGTGGGTTTTGCTTTATTGGAAGGGATTGGGCGGTTGGGCGAGCCTGCATCGGTTGTGGCTTGCTCGGGGTCATTCGAGGATTTGGTCGCGTAGCCTCGGCATATGGAGGCGCGAGGTGTTTGAGTGTACGCTATGGAGAGAGCTGTAACTGGGGATCGGGCCTGGAATGCAGTCTTCAGGCGCATTGAGGTCGTCATTTTGGGGGTTGGTAGGTTTTATTGTTATTGTTGAAGGTGGGGAGAGATTGAAGATGAATTATGGTAACAAGCGGAATTGACTTCCTATATATACAAGTCCCCTACGAAAAAAATCAGGTTTCATTTAGCGATGACGTTCTTGAATGTCATACTGGACACGCCAAGAGTTTCGACAACTTTATATCAACCTTGATTATTTCAGAGAGATGTGATATGGAAGATTATCCATTCTCTTGCTTCTAACTGCATGTTTCGTTACTTACAGCTCCGTACTAGAGCGAGCATAAACAGATACCCAAAAGGGATTGCCCGAATAGGAAAGAGGCCCCCTCCGAGTGGCATCTACGCTTCTGATAATTTTCGGCTATACCTCACAGTACAGAGAGATGGTTGTAAAGCTGAAGTTCAATCCATTCAAGCATTTACACGGCTGCTAGTAACTCCTGGCATGCAGGATTCAGCAGTCAAGAACAAAGAACAAATGAGAATAACAATACAGACCGACCAATCCACAGTATCAAAGTAACAATAACAATATTTGGTATCTCTGAAGTTGACAAAAGCTCTTCAAGGTGAGGCCAGAGCATGCAATCAGCTCGACCGTCACCCGCAACGCCCGCAAAGACATATTTGCCCCAATGGGCCGCATGCACCGAACATTGAAAGCCGACCAGCACTCAATATCCGAAAGAATAATTGATTAGAGCCAAGAAAAGAAAATGGAGTGGCGCACTTTTAGGCATCACTTCAACTTGATGCTTACAATTGTGTCTTCCACGGGACCCGTATCGGATAAATCTTGTTCACAGAATAATGTCTCATTTTGACGATGTTTAGGTGGAGGGACCTTCTCATGGGATCTCTGATCCTTTCGCTTCGGGCTAGGTGGGCTCGTTTGCTCCGGATGAACGTGAGATGGGACGTTTGTGACATTGGCAGTGTTTATTAGCTGCAGCTGGCCAGATTCTTGTGCAACCATGGGGTGAGCTTTCTGGGGGGCTTGCTGTCGTTTTTCTTGCGACCTAGAAGTCTTATCGGAAGGACTAGCCCAGTATCGAGAGGGATGGGCCTGGATCATGGAGCTCGTAACCGGGAAAGTGTGTTCAAAGGCTGTATCCAACAGGTCCTTGTCAGCGAACTCTACGTTCTGAGCTTTCAGCTTGCGCCTCAGCTGCTCTCGCTCAGAGTTTATCACTCGCGCTCGATGTGAATTCGACATGGCCTCCGACCACCAAGTATGGCGTGTTTCCCGCAGATGGGTTGAGACCGTCGGTGGTAGCTCACTAGCTTGTGCTCGAGGAGGCTGTCTAGGACCCTGCTGAGGCGGCTGGGGCGCAACTGGAAGCCTTGCAGACGGCGCAGGGCCCGGGTTATTTTGCGGTTGGGTCATCGCAGAAGGTGCAGACCTGGAATCCGGTCCAGACCACTGCCTCTGCAGTTCAGCCGCTAATTGGAGATTGGCACCAGTGGTATAGATGCCATTAAAGATTAGTGGGACCATGTTGGGTGGGACACCAACATCCAGAGCATCTGACAGTATTGACTGTTCGATGCGCCGCTGTTCCAGTACAACTTTAGCCCGGTGTGTTTTTTCTTCTTCCTGTCTGCGCCGCTCTTCTTCGATTTTTGCGTGCAGCCACATCTTCCTGTCCTCCCATCCAGCTGGCTGTGGGTGTAGGGAAGTCGTCATTGGCTGTGGAGGTAGGCGATTGATCTCGGGTGGTAAGACCAGGTATCGATGTGAGCTCA